AGGATCTTTAGTTAGTTTACACAATAAACCTTCAGGAAATGGCTGATGATTAAAAAGTTAGGAATTTTTTTAACAAGAGTTTATAAACCTTTTTCTCTAAAATAAGTAGTGTCCAGCAGTAAGTTTAGGTTTTTTGCAGATCGGAGATGATTGTTCTAAGCTTATACATTGACTTAATTAAGGCATTATGATTTCAGGCATTTCTTAGCACGTACTACAGGTGACCATGCCAGCTTCTCCGCCTCACGTAACAAAAAAGTATTTTCTTTTATTCTTACCTTTGAGCATCGTCGGTAATAGTTTGAGTGCTATCTTTTAGCTCGATATAATCAGCGGTTTTAGCTTTTCTTTACTATTCTTCAGATTGAAGGTCTGTTTTTTAGATTAATTGTAAGTTAAAAATTTTTCTCTTATACATCTAGAATTAATTAATTCATCTCTTTGGTTGTTTCTTTGACAGTTAGTATTTGAAAAAGATGAAGAAAAACTTTTCAAACAAGTTGCTAGCAAACTTCTGCGTATTAAGTTCGATTCAAATAAGGCTGTATGTTTCTTGAGTAGGGCAGAAAGTTTTGGTAAAATCTTTAAATTTATTGATGTTGTACATCTGTTAAAATTTAAATACTGATGATGTGAGAAGTTTTGTAGCAACAAATCAAGCGAATTTTTTGCTGTTGAATTACTTTGAAAAGAACAACTTTGCAGATTGTTTCACGCAAGCGCAGCATTTTCAAGTTCAAGTGGTTTAAACGTTTTTCTAATGAAAGCAAATTAGACACTTCTCGAAGTTTGTTGCTATTAGTGAAAGCACTTGCAAATGACGAAGTGGCTTGCTTAAAAGCATTAATAAAGTATAATTTTTGTTTCATTTTTGATTTACTTTTGTTTAAAATCACTTTCACAGCAAATAGCAAACATTTTCATTTGAAGAAACTACTCCCTTTTGACCTAAGGTAATGATAACCTAGTTTGATACAGAAATGTTACCTGTAGAGTTTCGTATTTGTTTTGTAAAACATTTGGAGACACATTTTGCTTACAGCAATTTGCACATTAGGGGTCTTTTTCAGCTTATTGTGATTTAGTAGTTATTTATAGGTCAGATATTCGCCTATTGTCAGAGACTTTAGGAAATCGTAATCTTCTCCATGTAGCTGCTGAAAATGGTTCCAGTAAATCCCTGTCCTACTTGTTAAAAGTTTTTTGTGAACAGGAAAAGGTTTTTGTGCTGCTTTTTCTCAGGAATTTTTTTGTGACGGAGATAATTAAATTTGCTATTTGACTATGCCTCTTGACTTTCTATTGAATTGCAGCTTAGGTTAAAGGTCAGTCAATAGTCTTTCAATTATCGTGTTACAGAAGAAAATAAGGCGGGGTCTCCTGGACTCAGTTGAAAATGTGTATGGTTATTTGGTTAGAGCTGATGACAGTGGTGACACACCGTTACATTTGGCGTGTAGGGACCCTTCAGCATACTGCTTCAAGGTGCTTTCTATTAAACAGTAAGACAGGAAATCCACAAAATATTTTTGAAACTATCACTCCTTGAATTTAGGTCATATTTCGCTCAATAGTCAAACATTTGGGCTGGACAGTAGCTGGAAAAGTCTTATTGCAGTGCAATCATGAAAGACAAAATCCCTTACATGTAGCATGTTTGTGGAAAAATGTTGAGGTGGTTCGCTTGCTTTTAACAAACGAATTTGAGAGAAAGTTCGCTGGGATATATATTCTTCGTTTTCCAACTGATGGAAGTCTGCAGAAAATTAGGAATCTTCGGATGGCGCTCACCTCGACATTAAAGGATGAATTAAAAAAGTACATTTATTTTTCATTTTTTTTTTACTTTCTCTCGGCTCAAACTTCTTCAAAAAATAATCAGTGTTTCTAAATACAACAATTATGGCGATACTTATCTGCTTTTGAAACCTAATTTCAACTGCGTGAGTTCAAGTTGCTTTGATATAGTGGGACTGTACTTCATGAACTAGGAAGCAGCGTGTGTAGGTGTCCAAAACCAGAATATGCTGATAGACCTGTTTCTAACTCGGATTTGTTTTCACTGCCTCAGAACTTTTCTGACACGGAAAACGATATCAGCGTACCTGAAGAAACCTGCTTATCTTGCGAGCGGTGTAACAAGTTTCGCTCTTGTAATAAAACTAAACAAATAAGTTGTCTTTTTTCTTTTCAAGAAGTGAACTTAGGTTTAAAAGTTAGCTTAATTTGCCATCCAAATAAATTGAGTATTGCTTGGCATTTTTTTGCTTTTTCTGTACAATTTAATTTTCTGATGGAATAAGTTCAGGATAGAAGCGGAAGAACGCAATAAATTAATTTTCCATCTCTTTTTAGGTCTTTTTGGTTTTCTACCCCTTAAATTTTTAGTACTTTATCTGATGCCATTAATTAATTGGTTCTTTGTTTAGCCGTTCAGAAAATTTTTGAATTGGTGACTCAAAAAGTTCCTGCTGTTTTATCACAACGCAGAGAAGGAGGTGTATATCCTTTGATGGCTGCTGTGAGAAATGATGCTATCGTTGTTGTGAAGTTACTTTTATCTCTTAAAGTCGATTTAGAAGTTAGTTTAGGTTCTTTTTCCCTTTCTTTCTTCAAAGCGTTAGACGTATCTCTTTAGTTTTCCAACTAATAGGAGATGAACACATTAAGTTTATGAGAATTCCGAATTAAACGAGATTTTGGTCGTACTAGGCTGAGGATTGGGAAGGTCGAACAGCTCTTCATTATGCTGCGGAGCATGGAGTAGCTCGTCAGGTTGCTCTTTTGCTTTCTCACGGCGCTGTACCATTACATAAGGATTATCGAGGTGTAACACCACTACATCTTGCTGCTCTGCGAGGCCAGACCACTAGTCTGCGACTCCTCTACCTCGCCACTAATTTAAAAGTAAATTTGTATATTGTTTGTAGTCAGTAATTCTTTTATGGCTGCGCAAACATGCTGTGCATACTAGGGTTTATGCTCATAAGGATCCTCATATGTTGCTTATATACTAGAGTATTAACCACCGTTCGGCATACAGTATCAGTCTGAAAAATATTAATATGTATTTTAACCTTCCTTCTTAGATTTCCACCAATTTAAATGGTTATTTCATTACAGTTATAATTATTTATTAGCCTGATAGATGCACTTCGTAATCCGGATATTTCTTGTCCATCATTCGTCTTTTTCATTTGAGGATATTCCAACATCAGATAGTTTCACAGCTTTCTTATGGAGTGCATGTCGTGGAATAGAAGCTTCACTACGCACGATGTTACAAATGAATCCAAATTTGGATAAATCGCAGCACACTCGCGACAACTCCACTGCAATGCATTTATCTGCATCTCATGGTCACAGTGAGTGCGTAAGACTATTATTCAACAAAGGCTGGGAACTTGAGGTTAAGATTGCTACCACCGCATTGTGACAGTTCCGTTTTCTTTTCTTCAGAGTAGTTTATAGCTTCATCTTAAATCGTTCTGGCAAAATTAACACTCTCAGAACTTTATTTTTCAGAGGAGGACAAAAGGAGCAGAGACACCGCTACTTCTAGCAGCTAAATATGGTCATATTGAAACGCTGCGTATATTAGTTGAGTTCGGAGCAGACACCCACACAATAGACGCTGTAACATTTTGTTACGGTCCAATTTCTTTACTTTTTTGTCGCTATTTATGTAAGAACTTCTTTCATTTTTAGTCAAACAAATTCTAGAATAGAAATCAAATTATTTCGTAGCTATCGCCTCTTTGTTATTTCTCTAAATTTGTTTTTAAAAAAATACAGAATTGCTTTTCGGCGTTTTAGAAGGGAAACTGTTGTCTCCACTTAGCTTCGAAGGCGAAATTGTCTAGAGAACTTTTCCAACACTTCTTGGTACTGATCCCATTCACGGAAATGATTAATATGAAGAATGCCATGGGAAAAACTCCCCTCCACTGTGCCGTGGAAGCTCAGCGTATTAGTTCTGCGTGTGAACTAGTAGAGGTAAGTTGCCAAAATCATGATGAGCACAATTTGAGTGTGACTCTTAAACGTTTGCTTCATTTTGATCTGGAATAAAATTGCAGGGTAATGAATGACAGCGATTTGAAATTTCCTTTTAAAACTTACAGTAGTGGTACTTATTGTCCATTTTTATAATGCGCCTATTGGGAATAGATATCCTCCGTTTTAAAAAATACTTCTTACTAGTTGAAATCTTGTTTCAGCTTGGAGCTAATATTCGTGCCAGAGATAATACTGGGTGGGATCCTTTCATGTACGCAATACGTTCTGGCTCCAGTCAACTTATCGCGTTAATGCTTGAGTAAGTTTCTGTCTGTACTTAAGTGTCACTTTGAAATTCATTCTTTCAGAACTTTTATGGCTTTTGAACGGTAACTTTCTTTGGGAAGTGACCAGCGCGTGCTGGTTTTTTCATCCAGTGATATTTGAAGGCACTCACCAAATGTCAATTGTTGCTCTGTGGTAAACGGTTACTCAACTCTTTCCCTCGCTCTTAAACATGGCGACGCTATGCTGGTGAACCATTTGAAGAGTCGTGGAGCGAAATTACCAAAGGAATTGATGAATGATGCAGCCAGAAAGTAAAAATTCAAAAACAAAAGTTTGATACAATTTTCTTCTATTAGTGATGTCGTTTAAGGGGATAGGCGCGTCACCACAAAAATAAAGTTGAAAGTCGGTCTTCGCAACTTCTATGTTTTTCCTTTTTCTGTTATGTATTCAAACCAAGAAAACTAAATTCTGAAAAGAATTTTGTAGGATATTTTAAACTTTGGGCAGTTTCTTTGAGGAAGACTTGAAATTGACTAACATTTTGATTTTAGTTCTTGTGTCTTTTAATATTTGTAGTTCGAAAATCAACTTATTTTAGAATTCAGCGGTGGTACAGGAAAAGCGTTTCGATTCGCAAATTATCATCGTGTTCAAAAAGAACAAGTGAAAAAGTCAGACAGGCCTGTGTTCACTTTGGTACGAATATGACTGAAGCCAGATATGGAACGAAAGTCTCTGACTGCGGCAGAACGAGACCTTTTTCCACTTAGCCATTCCTGTATGGCTGAACATGGATAACTAACTTTAACACCTTGCTTTTAAACGAATCCTGTCAAAGAGCTTCGGGAAAGGGAGAGTTCAGGCAAGACTGGAATCCTCTTATTAAACTTCTATGTCCTTGACAAATGTTGCTTTTCACAGCTTACTTTGTGGTACTCATTGTACATTCTTGATTATTCAGCCGTTACTGGTCATTTTTATTTTGGTAGAAGACCTCAGAAATTTTTCAATTTTTAGGAAATCAATTCTCCACCTGTTTAGCAGTTTTGTTTTTCTTACTCGTCCTTTGATTGAGGAACATTGGTTTACGTTCCACTGTAAAAATTGCATATTCTTACATTTTTATTTTTCGGATATATTAGTCCTTACAAACTTACTATACTTATTATGGTGAATAATTTGCTCCTTACCATGTGTACTTTATGACCATGACTTTCTGTCGCTCTTGTAGTTGTCGTGCCCTTACCAATGCCAAGAGTTAGGTCCCAAAGGACCCGATTAAGTACGTTATACAGATATTTAGTGTACTTTAGAAAACTCGCATAACTTCGAGGTTGGTGAAGTGAAGTTAAGAAACAGCCAACGTGGTCTAGTAATGCCAAACCTTTGGCTGTGTTAATTTTGTATCTTGTGTAGGAATGGGTTGAATTCTTATGACTTCTTTGTATAACAGTGGTTGATGTAAACCACTTTACCACTAATGGAGGTTCTCCAGTCGCTGCATGGCAGAAGTGAATAACGTATACCCAACTAGACACATACTTAGAAGATTCCTTATTTTTTGTTTTGTAATCAAGAGCAAGAAATGCAGTCAGGATTTCATTCCGTCAAGCGTCTCTTTTAATCGTTGTCTAATGCCATTGAAGTGTTAGCAGAGAGATCCGTGTACTTAGGGTTATTGGTGGTGGTTTTTTTGGCTGAAAGGTCTAACATAAAATAGGAAGCAGCAATTTCCACAGGGCCTGAAATTTCCGCTTGAAAGAGTTCACGGGTAGTTGGACCGAAAAGAAAATGAGCTTGTTCAAGGTGTAGAAGGAACAGGCAACGACTTCAACTACTTCCAAATGATGCAAACATTTCAGCAAGCCACTTTTCCTGTACCTAAGCTCCCAACGAAGCGACTAGCTTAACTTCTGACTTTTTTAAGATGCACTTTTGGATTTTTTTGGTGGGTCTCCTAGAAATCACAATTGTTAGCTGGCCAACAGTCTCATCCTATAAGGCCCTTGAAGAGTCAAATGAAGGGACTTGTACGGGAACCGTTCCACCAAAAAATTGCACTAACACCTATTCAAGAATAAGCTAAATCTTGTCTGCTTCTGAATTACCCGTCCCCAGTGAAAATACTCCAAGTTGTGTGGAAGTATCTGATAGCAACCTTCCTTCCACGCACACCTGAGTCCACGTCTATTTCCC